CACGCTGCTCATAAGTCCTCGTTAAACTCTCGCTGGATATCGCTTTTTACTGCATCTTTTCTTTCTTTTGGTTTAGCTGGCAAAACGGCATTACCAATTCTTCCTCGCCTTTCCGACGCTTCGAAAGGAGGTATATCCTAGACAGAAGAAAACTTTTCGGCTAATGAGAAACGGACCGCGAAGCTGCCTGCAGAAAATTATCCGTGGAAAACTCGAATTTTCATCGTAAATTCGTTCGGGGGATTAAGGGAATTAAATCTTAATTGCAACCAGATGAAAGATGGCGTAAAATATCCGTGCGCAATAATTTACATGTTATCACGCAGCTTGTCGGAGAATTAAGCAATTTCAAATTTCTTTAGGTTAATATTAACATTTACGCGATATATAAGCGCAATAAGTACTGAGAAGAGTTTTGAAAACAAGTTAACTATTTTATTACTGCACACTGTAGAAGCTATACATATAACTTTATTTTTCTTAAAGTTAAAAGAGATATGACGACGAGAGATATTACAGTTATAATATTTCCTATTAAAAATAGCGAGCGTTGCGAGAATCGTCGAAAAATCTGGAGATACCTAGATATAACAATTTATACAAAATCAAATATTAGAAACATGAAGGTGCTCCTTGCTATTTGATAATGTGATAATTAAGCAAAGCCCTTGCAAGCGAATTTCACAGTCGCTGAAGGAGCAGCTTATTAAACCGAACGTTTCACCATTTGCATATTTAAATTTCCATTTCCGCGGAGCTCTGCCCGGGCAGAACCACCAGGTTAGATGGGAAAACCGCGAGAAGCAAGAGCATCTTTTATCTCACTTCGTACTTCTTATCGCCATGAGTGCATTGATCTTTCCTGCTCCTCACTGAATTGCCTCCTGTTTAGCTTTCATATATATATATATATATATATATATATAATAAAGTATAACTTCTTTATTTTAAACTTTAAAAAATTTAGTTTTACGTACCGTTACTAAAGTTGTACTTAGAACTTACTTTACCTAATATTCGTTAGAACTAAAATTGTTAACTTTTTTAATTTTAATAATTAGTTAAGTTACGGTAAGTAAGGTAATACTAACAAAGTAAAAATTCTACTACTAACTACTTGGATTAAATTAGGAAGTATATAGTGTAGTTACTATTAGTGTGTGTATACTACACATATAGTATATATATATATATATATATATATATATATATATGAGGATCAATCCTTGACTTGTTGAACGGTGTTATCCCAGATTTCCTTCATTTAATATTCCAATTCAATTACATTATAAAAATAAAAGCGTTTTGGAGATGCAGGAAACGTCGGACACTTCAGTGCAAATATCCTTAAATAGACAAAAGTTATTTTTAGATTTGATAGGTTCAGCTCAAATTTATAAATAAATATACAATAGACTATTGCATTTTATTTCAAATATTTTGTGTTGATATTTGATGAAACGGAGGTTTATAGATATCGGCAAATGGTTTATCGACTTTTCATGTAATCCCGATAATCCTAGTTGCCTACAAGATTGAAGCTTTTTGTATAATAGTTCTTTTATATCAACTGTAAAATTAATTAAATCATTCGTTACGAGAGATGGCCCTCCGTTATTCAGTGAGCCACACCAAGCTGTTGAAGGTCGCTTAATTGAATATTCAAAAAAACAATATGTACCGTAGCGGAGATAACGGCCACTTTAAATGATTGGACCACCGCGATAATTACAGTCGCCCTCGGGTGTTTAAATTATTAATTAATAACCGCCAACGTGTTGTACCTTTGTTAACTAACGCGATCGTAATCGCTAATTATTTCGACTCTGTAACCGCTAATTCAATAAAATCCAGAATTAGCTCGTTTTAATCGCATAAGCTGAAAATATGTTTTTCGAATATGACATAAAATAAAACAGTACAAATGGAAAAAGCAAAATTTATATTCCGTTTTGTAAAAAAGGCCTGTGGCGATTATTTCACGTTGTACTCGCTGCAAAGGAAATATTTGACAAGAAAATTGTAAAGTCGCATTAAAATTAGAGACACGTATATTCTGCATAAATTCTGTATGAATTCGTTATCAATACATTGAATTAAAACCTTCTGTGTTGCTAATTATATTAAACGTTTCTTTTTACTACCTTTTCCCTTTGATCAGTTTATGTAATTGATCGGCTATGTAAAATGCAGCTGTTTACATCGACTATTTTATTCCGTTATTTAATAAAGCGAGATAACATGCTTTTATAAACGCAATGATTCTACTGATATTATTTAACGGATATATGGAATAATTAAAATAAATAAAATCATGCTTATATCATTGGATTTATATCCAAGTGTTTTTATCAGTCAAGAAGGTCCCGTAATCGTATTTTCATGGGATATCTATGGGATATCGATGTGACGATTATCGATTCTCTCCGAACAATCCTCATGGCTCTAAATCAGAGACACCTGTTCGTAAGCGTGTCGTACAGCACACCTGTGCCGGTGTGGTGGCACCTTTATCCAAGCCGTTAGTTACGGACGCGACTCCGCGGTGTGTCAGTAACAACAGGCACCCACGAAGTTTGCCCACCTGTCCTGATAATGTCGGTTAATATCATGTAAATTGTAATTAATATTCATGGGGTTAATTCGCTGCCGCGGTCGGCCCGACGCCACTGCCGCCGCCAGGACGAAGTTTTAGCGAAAATTTATGGTCACCGCGAAACATATTTTGGACGCGGTACCGCGGTAGGTACGGTATAGTTACGGCCCTGGTTACGACCAAGTTTCATCCAAATAAATCACGCCGATCTATGCGCCGATGTCATCATAACAAAATTATCAATCTGTTGCTTGGTGGTATTTTGCATAATTCAGCCTTTCGTATTAGACTACTCTGTAATAACGGAGAGATCATCTAAAATCACAGGGGCATTTACATTGTATAAACACATTTGCCCGCGAAAAGGAAATATTTATAACATAGCTCGGCTCGAAAAAAAAAAAAGAGCGTCCCGGCTTTAATGAAATGAAATAGTATAATTGAAAACTTCCCAACGGGGAATTTCAGAAACTACCGCGTAACGTAAGAACGGCGCGGCGACGGGGCAATGTATTAATTTCCGGTAACGCATTTTCCGATGATTAAATTTTCCGAACTACGTCGCTCGCGCGCTCTTTTCGTCGTAGACTATTACGGTCAACTCGCGCAACAAATTAGGCACAGTGCAATTAATTAAACAACACGTACCGTAGTACTTCGCGCAGGCGAGCGGACGCGAACGTTCTCCCCCCCTCCCCCCTCTCCCCCCGTGAAATTGCATTTGCGACGTAGACGGAAAATAATTTGCAACGTTAACAAGAATTCGGAATAGAGGGTCATTAGCATAGCTTGGACGCACATATAACGCGCACGTACGTGTATACATTAGCGGGGTTGTTCTTCTTCGTTCAAGGGAGATGTTTACATATAATAGCAGCGTGTTTAACTTAGTGCCGTAATTAAAATAATGGCGCGATGCAAATTACATCGCGTTATAATATTACTCGAGAAACGCTCCTCGTAACGCCATTGCATTGCGTATTTCACTCGAGGAGGGAGAAAACCCTCCCCCCGCGTTTTAAGCTGCGTCGAATGAAATGTTCCCCGCAAAAGCCGTTTTTAATATCCTTCGTGATCGTGCGCGTGATTGTGCCTGAATAGATTGCACTTTGGTACGATGGAGCGCAAGAATAAAGAAAAGTAATTTCCGATCGTACATATGATATCGACATTTAACAGAAACTTTATTAACAGGTACATTCGAATGTCTCGTCCACAATTCTCTCGCAATCGTGGAAATAAACGCAATTTTAGTTGTACTCTTTTCGTCTTCTCACGATAAATATATACGATATATTTATTAAATATATTTATTAAATACTGAATAAACAAAAGTAAAGTTTCATATTTTATCAGTAAATTGCAATAATAACAATCATTTTTCTAAAGAGAAACAAAATATAAGAGTAAAATATCTTTCTGAGAGAAAATTATACATTTATCAAATAAAAGAAAAGACCAGATGTCCTTTCAAAAAAAAAAAAAAAGAAGGACAGATTTATAGAAAATAAAAAGTCAACAAATTGCGAATGCGTAAAACAGGTCTCGATATTAAAAAAAAAAATTATTTTAAAATACTGTACGATTTTAATTGTTGCTATGTGAGGATATCTTTCGCATTTACGTTTTTCGTTAGTACACGCGCACTCGTAAAACGGAACTACTAACTCAAAACTACCGACATATAACTCCATTTCATATAATTCGTTTCCATATGCTTTGGAAATGTTCTATTTCACGATGATCGTCTTTCACGTGAAAGGAAAGAATCGAGAGGATCGAACGGCCGGGATGGCTGAGTCGTCGCGACGTCGCGACCTCCGATCCGTAGTGTTTTATCAACGACCACCATGCCATGATGCGACACCATCTCCGCAGTAAAGGGAAATGGCACAGGACGTTTATGGTCACGATTTTGCGGCGCATTACCGCAGCCTATCTGCCTCGATCGGTGAAATGCCGCTGGCTGTTACTCTCGGTCGGTGCCTCGGGGAGCAGCGTATCATCCTTTTTACATCGGATATAACACACCCTCTAGAGATGTTCCTTTACGTTTAAACGCGCGTTTTTCTTTTCTTTTCTTCTTTACGTTCACTTTGCGTATATTTCTTCGAATGGCAAATATCACGCTGATAAACGGATCTCCGATCGCGGATCTCTGAACGTAATAAATTGCCTCCTCGGAACGTATCCCTTCCAGAACAGTCACGATAAAACCTCCCTCCCTCCCTCCCCCCCCGCCCCGTTATTGCAAGGAGATATACCGATGTTGTGCAAGTTATTGTCTTTCCAAAGGAAAATGGAAGAAAGAAATCAATAATGTTGAGCGGTAGCAAATATATATATATATCGTTAACATCAACGAACTATCGCAAGAGAGTAAATTTATGTAAATATGACTCACCACTGATCGCGTGGATCAGGCAGGGATCTGTGCACGGAGATTAGATCACTGGCATACTGATTAAACGCATTATTGAGCCAGCCATCGTCCACCAGCTTCTTGGTCTGCGCGGATATGTTGGTCGGCAAAATTACGGGCCTGCCCATCTCGCCGGGTGCAGCAGCATCTGGCTCGCGTGGTACAGCCAGCACCCCAGCACCTATGGAATCTAAAAGCCATTGAAGATGACAAATGAGTGACATCGCGCGAGAGTGTTGGCAAATGAGTTGATTACAATGCCATATTGTATATTATGGTCATCATGCCCTTATTAAATTTAATTATCGTTGTACCATCAAATTGGATAAATTTTAATATTTAATACTTTACGTATCATTATTAGTGCGTACGTAACATTAAATTGTCCAACTTTTTACGAAAACATTTAAAAAATTATGCAGCTCTTGCCTCTCAATCATCGGAAACTTTGTAAACTCTTTAAACTATTTCCGAATATATGAGAAATAAAAGATAGACACTGCTCTCTAGGCAATGTTCAAGAATGTTTCTTACGTTTCTCGTTTTATTAACTAGTATTCTTGTTAAAAATGACGTTTTTCCACTTTATCTCATTTTTCATTCATTTTTATTCCCTCTGGCATAGTTCAGAATTAAAATTAAAATTCTTGTAAACGTATTTTCAAGCCCGGTAATTGGAAAAACGAGCAATAGGTCGAGGTCTATCGAACTGATATTACATTATTAACGAGAAAAAAATCATTACAGTTCAAGGACATTAATGACATTCATAAGTCTTATATCGCAAAGAGAACTCTCCTAATTGAGATTAGAATACCTTCAACCAGAATACCTATCAAGTTGAGAAAGACATTATCGAGCTGCTTATGCGCCGACGAGATAGAAAGGCAAATGGAGCAATATGGTGACTCATGTCAAACTCGTGGCCCCGCTCGTATTTTGTCGCGTTCCGGTTTAGTTTCAGTTAATTCCGCTTCTCGTTTCGCACGAATGGCGGGAGTATGACGCTTAACGTCAGCGCGCGAGGAGAAATGAGTCGGTGGAGGCAGGCGTGTGACGACGCGCTGTACCGGAGAAAAAGGGCATCGGGAATTGAATTTTCAGCACATCCACATCGCTGCCGGGGTCTCGAGTACTCGGCGTACTCTCTAAGAGCTTTCTCGCATAAACTCCGGTTTTATTTGCCGGCGCCATATTGTCGCGGCATAGCTGCTAAAGCCAAACGAGGCAAGTACGCTTCGCGATATGGTCGGCTGGCTGGCTGGCGCGAGCCCGACCCGCCTGAAAATAATTTTATCCCGGTCGACAAAGTTCGGCCCCGGTGTGTACGATGCGGCAATAAAGAGGACGACAAATTGCTTTAGCGCTTTAGACCCGGGCCGCCACGAAGTTCGGCGGTGAAACTGGCGTCGTGCATCACGACTGCGTCGCCGTTACGCCACCGGCTTTTCTTGGAGAGGATCGCCGTCGCCGAACTCCTCCCCTCCGTTTACGCGAGAGTCATCTCTCGTTTGCTCTCTC